TGTTTTTAAGAATTTTGCTGTTTCTCATCCTACATATTATTTCAATATTCATCAGTTATTCCCAAATATGCTGAACAAGACTCAAATCATAGGAAAACAGAAGGATGGTGAGATCCCTAGAGGAGGATGCAGTAGTGGAGGAAGCGATAGCTGTCGCACCGCCCTTCAGCGTTCTTACTGCATTGTGCTTTGTGTACCGCAGCATCTTTCAAGAAGAAGAAGAAAAAAGACTAGACACACTGTCTTTTCAGCCTGCTTTTGTTTTTGTTGAACCCAGTTGAGAATTCGGAATTTTTCTTTTTCCATCTGTGATGGGGAAAGAGAGGAAAGTTGATGTAGGAAGACATGTCTAGTTATTAGACAAATCAGAAGATAACTGCAAAGAGACAGGTGCAGCACTGTAGACTCTGATGAGAATGGTGAAATTGAACACTTAAGTGAAGTCTCATACTGGGAGTCTTCGGATGGTATCTTAGGTAAATTTTCCCAAACTCAAGAATCAACATGTGAACAATACATTGGTATTCTCATCTCGTCAGTCATTGAGCAGGAAGAACTTTGGCATGAAGTATTTTGCTGCAAGTACCTGGACTGTACACCCTGTTTTGATAAAGTGCATGTGACAACATTCTTTATCTTCTTTGATCTTATTTCTTCCAGGTTGTAAGTGGATAGTACGAAATGCAAGTGTATGTATAAAAGTGATTGGAGGGAAGTAGATGATGTAAAATTTTAAAATATATTTTTTTCGTCCTTCCATTTGGTGTTTATGAATCTAAAAATTGGTTTTGCACTATGGGGCAGAGAAGATGGCTGCTTGCCAACAAAATTATGAGTCAAAAATTTGAAAAGTTGTGTGTTTTGATAATGCAAGTGCAGGAAGCTGTGGAAGTCATGATAAGCTAGAAGTTACTGCTGGGTGAACTCGGGCATCGGTACAAGATGGCGGTGCTCCAGGCTCAGGTGTGCCTGTTGAGTGCTTAGCTGCGTTTAGAAGACATTGTCCGCTGTGGGTATGTATGCCTTCCAAACTGAAATGTACTGGAAAGAAAGGATTTTCTACTTAAAAATTCTAAATAAAATTTCTAATGAAATTATTTTTATTATTCTTTTATTCTGTAAATTATTTGTAAAATGACTTTAAATATAAAAAAATAAAAAGGTCTTGGAGCCAGACGGTAAATGATGATGATGATCTTTCCTAGCTGATGAAGCATGACTTAGAATCATTTTTTTATTTTCCTAATATTGCCTAGATTTTATGGCTGAACCATAACTATGGAATCGCTGGTGATAGTGATTCCCACTTTGTGAAAGTAAGGCTAGGATCCCATCATAATTTCCCCATCTTACTGGGAATGGGATTTGTGGATTTGAGTCATTCACTCCATTGCAACCTTTTGTCCAACCCAGATAATACCATAAAATGATATCTCTAAAATAGAGCAACCTATTCTCCCCTCCAAATCTGTATATGTCTTTATTTCCTGCTTTGCATTTTTATCACATGCTTTGTCCCTGTTGAAACTCCTTTGGAAGCAAAGACTTGTGGTAGTCAGTCTCAACTCTGGTTGCTGTTAAAGTTACCTGGGACTTAAACAAACAAATACTATATTCTATTTAGAATGGATATTCAAGCCCTGCCTGCAAAGATTGGAGTTCACATTCTGAGTGGGGCTTTCTATCAATCTGATATGGAACTTCAATAAATAGAGAAGTAGTTTTTCACTGCTGTCAACTTGTAAGTGTGAATTTATGATATTTACAAAGGCAATCAGTGAGAACCAGTTATGTGTGTTTCTAAAACAAAATGATACTGTATATTGCTTCTGTTCATTAATAAAGCTAGAACAAAAACTGTGGTTGAGAAACAGGCAACCCCACTGTAGGATTGTGGTTAACTCTGCTGTGGGCAGGAGAGCAAGAAAGACTGGTTCCATTACTGATTTTAAAGAAAAAAAAAAAGGTACAAAACTATTTAGGCTGGGGTAGGCTGGGGTATAATGAATAAAATTTTGAAAATTGGAGTATATATATGACAAGTGAAGTCTTCTTATATTAGCCTCAGCACACAGTTTTATTTCCAGATTTTCTTCTGGTTGCACACTAAGGAGAGAACATTCTAATGAATGCCCTTGCTTAGCATGAGGGTGGACAGGTTTTTTTCTGAGTAGCTCACCTATTAAAAAACTTCTGTGTACTCATCAGATAGCTGTCAAAGATTTACTCTATTACACACAAAAATGAGTTAATCTGTTAGCACACCTTAATGTGTTGACAGGTGTGTTAGTATTTGATATGAAACACACTACGTACTTTTTAAAATTTTGTCGTATTATAGGTGTTTTTTCCCCCCCATTTCAAAAAAAATCTATTTAAAAAATAAATTCAAACCAAACCTATAAAGAACCCCAGCCTTCTAAGTCAGACTGCTTAAAAACTTCTGGTTTTAAGGATTTACTCATAAAAAGGCAGGCCCTCTTTCTTCTCAGAGTTTAGAAAACAAAGATAAATGTACATTTGGGTTATAAGCCAACAGAAATGCCCTGCACATCATTTTGACTACGTTGAAAGGGAAGTGAAACCAGATTGGAGAGAAAATGTAATGATCATGGAAAGAGGGAAGGAATTAGAGTCTGGAATGTATTTATTTGTATATGATTATATCTTTGATTGCATTAATTTTTTTACATCCTAGAGCCTTGTTTCCTTTAGTTACCGTTTGTAATACCAGTCTATGCAGGTAGGGCATACCTGATCGACCTGAGGAGAAGCACACAGGTGGCGGCTCCTACGTTCGGAACCTTGCCTACGCTGCAGCTTCAGTCAGGAGTTTCTGTCAAATAGTTTTAATCTTAGAAACAGGGTTTTTATAAATCCTTTGACAAAAATAGTCCCAATAATATGAGAAAAAATGCTGCTGTCACCAATTTTTTGGAGGCTTTGCTGAGTTCCTCTGATTACCAAACCCAACCCAGCCCACTGCCATCAAGTAGTTTCTGACTCATAGTGACCTTGTTGGACAGAGTAGAACTGCCCCCATAGGGTTTCCAAGGGTGCAGTCTTTTTAGAAGCAGACTGCCTCCTCTTTTTCCCACAGGAGAAATCACCAACCTTTGGATTATCAGCCAAGTACTGAACCATTGCGCCACCAGGGTTCCTCTCAGATTACCATTAAAACACAATGTAAAATCCATGTTATTGCATACATGGCGAATATCTCTGCCCCTTCCTAATGCCAAGCCTGTCTGGAGGATTGTAGATGAACCTTACTGCAAAGATAGGATTTCTGCCATTGTTTAGGAGATTATTCATTTGCACCTTGAATTTTTTGCCAGGAGCAGTAAGCGTGAGATACACGGCACTTTTGTAATTTCTGTTTGACCACATCCTTTCTTTAAAATGGTTTCCAAGAGCTTCGTGTTGAAATTAAAAACCTGCGTGCTTTAGGTGGAGAGGCTTTGGACTAGCTATGTCCCGTACAGGTCTGTTTTGTCTTTTCAGAACATGGCTTGACAGTACTTGCAAGAGCAGCATTCTGGAAGTCCTTGCTCCCAGGCAGCAGTGACATCTTGCTACTCATATTTAGGCTGCTTCATACCCAAAGATCTGTTATGTATGGATTGTTTTTTGGTAAATTTATAAGGTATGATCTGGTGCAATGATTAAAGCATCCAGCTGCTAACCAGAAGGTCAGAGATTCCAGCTGCTCTGCAGGAGAAAGATGAGGCAGTCTGCTTCCATGAAGATTGGCAGCCTGGGGGTAGATGGTAGTTTACAACTGTCTTACAGGGTCACTGTGAGTCGGAATCGACTTGATGGCAGTAGGGTTTTTTTTTTTTTGTCATCTGACCTTCAGTGAGATATTGATTGCCCCAGTGGCTACCTTCATGGGCTCAGACCCAGCCACAGTTGTGAGAATGTTGCAGGACCAAGCAGTGTTTCATTCTGTCGTACACAGGGTTGCTATGAATCGGGACTGACTTGACAGCACCTGACAACAAAATCTGACCCAAGTTTGAGAGAATTTTTTGTTTTCAACCTTTTAAATCTGGTGATACACGCTATGCATGCTGCCATGTTCACCAGTTTACTGTTAAATCCACAGAGGCCAGGTTCAATGGCCTGAAAGGTTTTTTTTATTTTTTTATTATTTTATTTTGATGTGGGTGAAGATTTACAGAGCAAATTCACTTTCCATACAGCAGTTCACATATACATTGTCACATGTCATTGACCACAGTTTACCACAATGCAACTCCTCCCCACTCCCACTTCCTCCCCATAGTTACCTCTTTCCAGTGTCCATCCTTCCATACTCTCCTGCGCCCTGAGCTGTCTCCCTGTGCATAAGCAGCCCTTCTTTCTCCCATGATTGTTCTCTCCAGGGCGGGTGTCTACTTGAGGTAAATGTTTAACTCACATGCCTGTACCTTGTTTGGCTGGAAACCACAGGTGTGGGTTCAATTCCAGATCTGAAGGGTAGCTAGGGGCCATAGTCTCAGTGGTTCCACCAGGCTCTCTTGGACCAGCAAACCTGGTCCCCACTTTTTTTTTTTTTTTTTGTCTCCAAATAATTTTGAGTTTTGTTCCACATTGTTCTCTCTGTCTATGCAGAATCTCCTACATCCCTTCCAAGTGGATGACAGTGGTAGCCGGGCACCATCTAGTTCTTCTGGTCTCATAGTTGTACAGTTGCAGATCGGATGGTGTACCAGTTGCTAGGACTGATTGTTTCCATTAACTTTGGTTTTCTTCTTTCTTTTTGACGGAGAGACCCATCGTTGCATCTAGATGGCAGCTTGCTAGCTTTTAAGATCCCAGTCGCTACTCGCCAAAGTAGGAGGTGGAACAGTGTTTTGTATAGTATGTTATGCCAATTGAGCTTGATGTCCCCTGCGACTATGGTCCCAAGGAACGGCCTTAAAGTTTTGTCATCCCAGCTGCAATGTTGGTGGTTTTATTAAGAGCTAACTACTAAACAGTTATTCTTCTTTCAGGTGAATGGAAGAGAATCAGAAGAAGAAAATCTCAATAAATCTGAAATAAGTCAAGTGTTTGAGATTGCACTTAAACGGAACTTGCCAGTGAATTTTGAGGTAAGCTTATTTTACAAGTAGAACTCTGTCTTATAAAATGCTGGTGGCATTCATCATTGGAATGGTTTTTCCCCAAAATAACACCGGAATAATACATACATGTGAACCTTAGATTTAAGCTTCAAACTTTACATTAAGCAGAGTAGCGTTTATTGTTATACTGAGGACTTCTAGATGGTCCATGGGTGGTGTCAGTGGGTCTGTGACCCTCCTAACATGGTCTGAAGAATATGCGCTTACATTCCCATGTGTATTATTTTGAAGAGGCTTCATTGCTTTCATTGTTCTCAAAAGTTACCTGTTACCAAAAAAGTTTTAAGAACCTCCTTGAATGGGCCCTAAAAAAATCTAACAGTGATTTTTTAAGTAAGTAAATTTTTTAAAGTGGTTTTGCCACTGTCCAGCACCTACTCACCACTACTTCACCTGTTGAATTACTTCATTTGTTGCTGGAACTTCTGTTTTCTAAAAAACAATAATTAATAGCTTGTTAGTTCAAAATGCAAAATAAAGTACATTTAATGCATGTTTCCTTCAAAGATATAGTAAGTCCAAATAGATTAAGGAAGTAAAGTGAGAGTGTTTTGTTTTCTTTCATTGTCTAACACATGGCAAATTCTTTGCAAATTCTTTTTATTTATATGCTTGATTGTTCATGATTATGTTTTAATATACAACATAACCCACTGCCATAGAGTTGATTCTGACTCATAGTGACCCTATAGGACCCAACAGGTCAGAATAGTAGGGTTCCTAAGGCTGTAATCTTTACAGACTACCTCATCTTTCTCCCACAGAGCTGCTGGCGAGTTCGATCTTCCGATCTTTGGGTTAGCAGCTGAGTGCCTAGCTACTGTGCCACCAGGGCTCTTTAGTTGGTACTCAGGAACTATTTATTGAATAAAGGATCATAATAGTTATTTTGGGGCTAAGTTTTTTTATAGTAAAATCTGTCATATAGGAAGCCATGTTAGGTGTTTAATAAAGGAGAAGGCAGGAGCCATTTGTAGTTTTTCAAAAAAATTTATACTGTCTGACTCCAGATAGTTTTATTAGAAAATGAGATGATGCTGAGTGATAGTGTTGTTGGGAGGCAGTTGTGACAGGCTCGTGCTAAATTGAGTCCAGATCAGACTCCAGGTGGCGATTGGTGCTCTCCTGCTGTGTGCAGACAGTGGTCGTCGCTGGGGCCCAGGGGAGCTCTGCCTTTGAGCAGAGCCATCAGGGAGGCTGCTCTTCGCAACTGGAGTCTGATCTGGGGAGGTGGGAAGTACCCTTCCAGGAAGGAGCATTTCCGAAGTGAGGGGTCAGAGTGGCTGGGCCAGCTCTACCATCAGTCTGGAGGGGCCTGAGCAGCCGGCCCATCCCTGCACACGTCTTTGTATGTCATGGAACTCTGACCTCTTCATGGGAACACTGTACAGCCTTTCTTTGGCTCACTTATTTTTCCTTGATAGCTTATTTTGAGAAATTTAAGATCTACAGAAATGCTGCAAGAATAGAACAGTGAATACTCACATATCCTTCGTGTAAATTCACCATTTGTTAACATTTTGACACATTTGTGTTTTCTTTCTCTGTAAATGTACATACTCCTTTGTTTTCCGTTTGCTTTAGCTAATCATTTGAGAGTAAGGATATCATGCATGCCTTTAGACTCCTGATACTTCAGCCTGTGTCCTTAGCAATGAAGACATGCTCTTAAGTAGCCACGATGTGATTATCCAGTATTTAGCATTGCTGCGATCCTGTTAATCCTGTATACATTTTGTATTCACATTTTGCCAGTTGTCTCATGATGTTCCGTACAGAAATTTTTTTCTTATTCTAGTGTCCAGTACAGGATTACACATTGCATTTAGGTGCTATGTCTTTTTAATAATCTCCTGTAATCCATAGCAGTTTCTCAGCTTTCTTTGTTTTTCGTAGCATTGACATTTTTAAAGGTCAGCCCTCAGTTTGGTCTGCCTGTTGCTTTCCTCCTGATTAGATTCAGGTTATGTGGATTTTTTTTTTTTTTTTTTTGGCAGGAACATCACAAAAGTGATGTTGGTCCTTCTCAGTGTCACGTAATGTCACTTACCCAGTGCTGGTGATGTTGACTTTATCTTTTGGTCTCAATGGTCTGTGCCAGATGTGTTCCACTCTGAGGAGACTTTCCCTTTGTAATGAATCCATAACCTGCAAGGAGATGCTTGAATGTTGTACAGGTACCCTGGGACTCAACAGGTCTCCTCAGTGTGTCTGACATTCACTGATGACTCTTGCCACCATCACTTAGTACTGTGGTGTTGTCCAATAGTTATTTTCTGCATTTTCAAGTTGACCTTCTACAGTAAAGAAAAAACCTTTGTTCTCTTTTATGTTACACATGTGTATATCAGTATAGATGCATTGCTTCTTTTTTTATTCAACCACATTGACTGCTGTTCCTCAATTTGATGTTCAGATTGCTATTTAAGTTGGCTTCTGTGTTTCTTGACATGTCCTCACTGTTTTTTTAATACAGATTTTTTAATGTATTTTATTGAAATATAATT